AACAGGGGTTAAACGCAATCCTCTTTCCCTACACACAGTACTCTCTACCTCTGGAAGTTGTGGGCAGGGAAACTTCCATTCATTCCCCAGCCCAGCCGACTGTGGAGTGGCTGAATTTCTGCTGTTTCCCATGGACAAAGACTGCCTTGGGATAGTCCCTGTTTTCCTGCACTTTTTGGCCTTGGGGCAGCTGGGAACTGTAGGCCAGCAGATGAGGAAGCCCCATTCAACGCAGTGAGTGATACCCCTGCAGGCTCCTCTCTGGAACGACAGCTCAATTAAACCTTATGGGAGAACATTTTAAACAAAAGAATCACAGCCATCTTACAAACACAGGTAACTGCCATTTCGTGACACCTACCAACAGCCACTGAGGGAACAGTTAGTCCCACACAGGAGGCAAGCAGGAGAAGCGTTTTCATCAAGAGAAAAAGCTGTTTGCCAGTAATTTTGACAGAGCACAGTGGCTGAAGGGGGAGTGGGCAGGGAAGAGGAGCAGACCCAGCACCCGGCCAATAGCACGTGAGTACTCTTGAGTTGCGGCTGACGGGCCAATGGCTGAGGGAGAGCATGGAATGTGGCCACTCCAAAACAGAATTGTTATATAGAGAGATACAGCACTAATAGTGTGAATGATGCTTTACTAAATACTAATTATAAGTCTCAGCCTCAAAGAAACTACAATCTAAAAAGTGAGAGAGAAGACAAAGGGAGGGGAGGGAAGTAGATGAGGGTATAAACTGGAAGTATATGCATTAATTTTAATTGCATGTACTTAAGCCTGATTAAGGCAATCAGAACAGACAAGCAGGCCAGCCACATTTGAGTATAAAGAGTAAAAGGGCACTTTGCTTTTGTCCCTATGTTTGTGTCATTTACAGGTTTTCATAACAGAATCCCTCCTAGTAGGGACGGACATAAACCACATTTTTGCAATTCTGTTCAGTGTTCATGGCTGAACCACAAACCAAACTATGAACCTATATAAATCGGGAGGTTGGTTCACGAATTAAACTGGTTTGTATGAGTTCATGACTCCTGCTTTCTGTTTCCTGCCGCTTTTCATGGGGAGCAGAAAGCAGGGGTTTAAATAGCTCACAGCCATTTAAACCAAAGAGCTGAGCAGCGGAGCACCCCTCAGCTGTTTGATTTAAATGGCTCAGAGCTGAACCCAAGAAAGCTCCTTTAAACAGTGGAGCTGTGAAGAGCAAACTGCTCCATGTGGATCACCTTTTTAAAGGGGCTTTCTTAGGCAGCCAGCTCCTGCAGCTGGCTGCCCAAGAAAGCCCCTTTAAACAGTGGAGATATGGAGAGTAAACTGCTCCATGTGCATCAGTTGTTTAAAGGGGCTTTCTTAGGCAGCCAGCACGGCCAAAGAAAGTCCCTTTAAATAGCTGATCTGCAGGGAGCAAACTGCTCCGCATGTATCAGCTGCTTAAAGGGGCTTTCTTAGGAAACTAGTGTTGCCCAAGAAAGCCCCTTTAAATAGCTGATCTGCAGGGAGCAAACTGCTCCACATCAATCAGCAGTTTAAAGGGGCTGTTTAAATCAAATGGCTGAATTGCTGGGAGCTCCCCACTGCTCAGTTGTTTTTTGTGAAGAACAGAAAGCAGCACTTTAAACCCCTACTTTCTGCTCTTCATGAACCACACCATGAACTGCATCAAAATTCATGAAAGTTCACGGCAGTTCTTCAGTTTGAGAACATTGCTTCACAAACCATGAACTGGCCAAAATTCATCAGCCGGTTTGTATCCATCGCTACTCACTAGTCCTTATGAGATCAGGATGATAACTTGGTCATGGAAAAGGCAGGCTTTAAAATAACATACATACATACTAACACTGCCGTCCTATACAGAGTAACTCTGCATAGGATTGCACTGCCTAGCTTTGATCATATCTAACAGCAGACATTCGCTAGCTGTTCTTGTTTAAACCTTGGGATTGCATAACTTCCATCACATGCTCAGATTCCCTCCTGTGGCTTTGTATTTTGCAACAAACTAATTTGTTGTTACATCCAAACCATGTAAACTATGGTTTGGAAAAACTAGAACTGGAAACCACAGTTTGTCATTACGAGTTCTATTCAGGCAAGCTATAATTTGTACAAATTAGTTTACCTGGTTAGGCAATCAAGCCTAACACTTGCCCATGCAACACAAAACTGTGGTTTGGCATTACAGCTGAACCAAGCCTTTGACAACTAGGGTCTCCATGTTAAACAAATACAACTTTCTTCAAACACTACCTGACCAGTAACTTACACATAGTCAGGGGTCGTTTCATAGAAAAAGAGCTAGGGAAACTCATTAGCATAACTCATTAGCATATGCCACACCCCCTGACATCACCGGAAGTGTGTCATAAGGCCACACCCCCTGACATCACCGGAAGTGTGTCATAAGGCCACACACCCCGCCCCCAATGGTCCCGGCCGCCGCAAGGCCGGCGGGAGTGCAAGGAAGCCCCGCAAAGGCCCTCCCTGGCCCCAGGCAGGCAGGGGTGGGGAGAGGCAGGGAGGAAGCAACTTACCCTCCCTCTTCTCCTGCCTCCTCCTGGCTGACTGAGGGCCGGAAGCGGGGCGGCCGGAAGCAGGGGGTGGGGCTTCGTCATGTGCCCCGCCCGCTGTACCTCACCCGGGGGAACTGCGATCCCCCGCGATCCCCCCCGAAATGACCTCTGCACACAGTAAACAAATCAATCACTATTGAGAGTTCAGTTGCATACTTCATACTTGTTACCTTAAACGCAAGGCATACTTTCCAGGCTATCAACTTCTCTCTTGCATTAAGGATGACTGGATACCTGACTTCTTTCCCTTCACTGTCCCGCTCCACCTTCCCATCAAGAGCAGGAGATTTGCGAGCTTCAGCATGTGCATAATCTGGACCTACAGTGTACACCTTTGTTGAAAAAAAGGTAACAGAATAATCAGCTTTTCTTTCAAAGCTTTCGTTCACTGCATTCTTGTTTTATAGCCAGTTCCAAGTCTAACACCTACTTTTTTGCCTTTCGTGATAGGGAGATAACAGACAAACTGAAACGAAAACTCCCAAAGTTATACAGGATTTATCTCACATAAATTCAACTTTTCTGACGTTTCATATTACGTTTATTGCCGCTATTAATTTATTTAGCAGCACCACTAATCAGATGCTTTACACTCATTGGCTAGGATCCAAAGAACATGCAATTGGTTTTGCTTGCCCAAGTGCTGTGACAAATGACCTTTGATACTGAATATGGTTTCCATTCTGTGATATGGCATGATGATAAATTCTTTAATGCAAAATGTAAAAAATTCCACTCAGTGCACACAAGGCCTTGGACACACCTACAGTAGCTCTTTGGATCCCACCCTTCATATACCATGAACTCCTGAAGAATGAAAGGTGGCATGATTAATACTGTGGATTAAAACAGGTTGTTTACCTGTAACTGATGATCTTCGAGTGGTCATCTGTGCATTCACACCTCTGGGCTATAGTGCACCTGCGCCGACCCTGATTGGTATTTTGGAAAGCAAAAGGGATTTTTCGCGCCCACTCCCCAGTCACGTGCTGGGCTCCACTGCGCATGACTAGAGGGAGGGCACGAGGATCCCACCAGTTCCTTCTGACCACTGCCCTCAGTCTCCAAAGAAAGGAAAGGACCCGAAAGCAGAGAGGAAGGAGGGCGGGTGGTGTGAATGCACAGATGACCACTCGAAAATCATCAGTTAAAGGTAAGCAACCTGTTTATCTTCTTCGTGGTCTCTGTGCATCACAACTCTGGGAGACTAGCAAGCAGTACACGCCTACCTGGAGGAGGGAGCCGAGGTCCTAATTCTGCGCCGCCTGCAACATTGCCCGACCTACTGCTGAAAGCTGGTGAATGTGCATATCAAGGGCATAGTGCTTCACAAACGTGTGAGAAGTGGCCCAGGTTGCTGCATTGCAGATATCTTCTAGCAACGCACCTCGCAGGAAGGCTGTGGATGCAGCCATTGCCCGGGTGGAATGTGCCCTTAGCAACTCCAGAAGTGACTTCTTTGCTAACGTGTAGCACAGTTTAATCGTCTCCACAATCCTTTGAATAGGTGTTGGGACGACAGCTTCTTCCCTTTGGAGGGTAAAGCATAAGAGATAAACAAGGCCGGTGACTTTCTAAAGGGCCTTGTTTGACTCAGGTAAAGGAGTAGCGCTCTTGACATCCAGTGAGTGAAGCCGACGTTCTTCCTCGTTCAACGGGGAGCGGAAGAACGCCGGGAGGACAATGTCCGCTTGTAAGTGAAAATCAGAAACAACTTTTGGTAAGAAAGAAACATCTGGAGCCAACGTGATCCCATTAGGATGGAAACTCAAATATGGGGGTCACAACGGAGCGCCGACAGTTCGCTCATCCTCCTGGCAGAGGTGACTGCAATTAAAAAGGCTGTCCTCAAAAGACAGGAGCTGCAAGCTCCTGCAAGAAGAGAAAGAAGGCCTGAAGCCAACAAATTTTACCGACCGAGGCATAGAGGTCCTACCAGTGTGGCCGTCAGAAGAGAACTGGCGGGATCCTCGTGCCCTCCCCCTAGTCATGCGCAGTGGAGCCCAGCACGTGACTGGGGAGCGGGCATGAAAAACCCCTTTTGCTTTCTAAAATACCGATCGGGCTCGGCGCAGGTGCACTATAACCCAGAGGTGTGATGCACAGAGACCATGAAGAAGATCATAATATGTATATTATTTATCAAATTTACAAATACTCATTTTGAAAGGCCTTCTTACCTATCTGTAATTAGGTAGATCCCAAGATGTAGACAGCATTCAGGTGTCATGATAAATCATTAGGGTTGCCAACTCTGGGTTCAGAAATACCTGGCGATTGAGGGTGGAGCCTCAAAGGGTTTAGGGAGGGGTATAATGCTATGCAATCCACTTTCCTAAGCAGCCTTTTTCTCCAGGAGAAGTGGAATAAATGTTTTAAGTCAATCTGGCTCCAGCCTCATGAAACAGTCTCCCACATGAAATCAGGGCCCTGTGGGACTGGTTACAGTTCTGCAGGGCCTGTAAAATTGAGATGTTTCACCAGGCTTTTGGTTGAGGTGGCGAATACCAAACTATAATGCTCCCCCCTGCTCCACCCACCTGTTCCATCTGCTGGTGCTATTTGCAGGCACTACTTTTATGTTATTACTGGTGAGAGTTCTGCCACTCATTAAACTATTAAACTATCTGAGCACACATACGATGGGAATTTATGAGTAATTTTACCACACTGGAGCTATCTTGCACTTTATATTAGGCTGTACTGAACTGACTTTTATTGTATGATGTTGTGTTTTTTTTTAATTGCCGTATCTACATATGTTGTGAGCTGCCCTGAGCCCTGCTTGCGGGGGAAGGCAGGATAAAAATCTAAATAAAAATTTAAATAAATAATTTCTGTCGTCTGGAGATCAGATGTAATTCCAAGAGAACTCCAGCCCCCACTGGGAGGCTGGCAACCCTAAAACCATATCTATTTCAACTCTGATTTGTGTAAGAAACTCTGGTTAGCTTACTAGACGCATGTAGTAAATCCTAGCTAGTACATAAGCCAGACGTCTTGCCTCTCTCTGCCTTCCTTGCACAGAGGCCATCCTCCCTATACCGTTGTTTCTGTGGCCATAAGCAGCAGCACTATACAATGAACTGTGGTATATGAACTCAGACATTGCAACAAAGCAAAATTTGTACGAACTAGGGTTAATGAACTAGCTATAAACTTTAGTTTGAAATCTTGGTTTGTGCCTTCTTCATTTGGATTACACAACTAACTCGGGTTTGGTCAAAGGATGGTTTTATATCTAAACGCAGCCATCAGTGCTCCAGGTCTCTAAGCTACTTATATGGCTTCTCTGAACACAAGCAAAAAAAAATAAATTATACTGTATGCTTAGGTACAACTGAGTGTTGAGGTACCTTGAAAGTATCAGAAGCAGATTCAACACGTGCTCCACATAGCTGCTGCATGGTTATTAGAAACAAATGTTTCTGTATCACACAAATCAATGATCTTTTTTTCAAGTACATTTAGTAATGTCACTGAACTTAGGAGTCTTATTTCCAAGTAAACATATTTTGAATTGAAATGTTAGACACATTGGTTTTGAGGACAAGGACACCTACCCCTTTACATGGTCAGAATGTATAGAGATAAAACATTTATCTGCTTTTTACATGGTAGGAACGTTTACACTACAATAATTCAATAGAAAATAACAGTATCTAAGGGGATAGACACAATAAAGCGTTCTTTACTGTATTGTTTCTTTTCCCTGTAGAAAAAAGAATGTGATTATTTGAACTATTTCAAATTTAATAATAGCTCTACTTCATGCAAAGATAAAGGTTTCACATCTAGAGCTACTGAATTCCTAAGCGCTTGATTGTTCTAAATATAAACTGGAGTATGCAGCTGTCATACCTTCACATCAGTGCCATCTGTAGGCATGAATTCCTCGTAAATGTATGAACCAGTTTTCCTCACACTGCTTTCAGGGGAATAAACACTGCTTCTGCTGCCAATCTGAAACACAAACCTTTTCATCAAGATAAATCCGTGTTACGTCAAAGCCTTCTCAGATCCATAAATAAATGATACTCTATCCCTTAGTCTATTTCCACATTTTAAACAAAACAAAAAATCAACATACCTATAAAGGCATAAAACTGACAAATTTATTGTAGTACAAGAGTAATGAAACACTTTAAAAGGAGAGAGACGAGAACAGCCGGGAACCTCTTTGGGCAGATAGACTGAGTCTGATGAACTTGCAAGACACAGAAATAGATAGGAACAGAACCAGGGCTTTTTTTGTAGAAAAAGCCCAGCAGGAACTCATTACCATAATAGACCACACCCAACAGCAGAAACTCATTAGCATATTAGGCCACACCCCTGACAACACAGCTCATTAGCATACTAGGCCGCACCCCCATGTTACCAGAAGTGTGGTCATCCAGCCACACCCACCTTTTACTTCTTATTCTGTTTACCTTGTTTGTTGTCAAAACCCAGGGTTTTTTTTGTAGCAGGAACTCCTTTGCATGTTAGGCCACACACCCCTAATGTAGCCAATCCTAATGGGTTTCTGCTGTTGGGTGTGGCCTGTTATGCTAATGAGTTCCTGCTGGGCTTTTTCTACAAAAAAAGCCCTGGTTCCATGAGCATGGTAATGTCAAAAGTCAATTGAAGGACTTATGAATAAGTTGTTACCCCTTAACTTTTCCACAAACCTATTAGCACATTAGGCCACACCTCTGACAGGGCAGCTCATTAGCATATTAGGCCACACCCCATGCCTTCCCTTGGCTTGTTCGGGTGCCCCGAGGCTGCAGAGAGCCCAGGCAAGCTGGCCCCTGATCCTTCCAGGGCCCCCCTGGCCTGCCCACCTCAGAGTCACTGGGGGGGGCAGTCTCCAGACCTTCCCTCTAGCCACGCATGCAGAAGTTTTGGCTGTAGTGGGCGTAGCCAACTCTGAAGCCAGCCAGAACTCCGTTCCTGTGTGTTCCTGCCCCAAAATAGCCCTGCATGGAACTAATATACAAATTACATCTATGGACATATACAATGATGCTCAACCAAGGCCACCTTAAAAGCTGTGCCTACACAGAGATGAATTGTCATAGGGCACCACAGAGCCTCACCACTCTCAACTATTTTTCATGGCTACTCAGCATGCTAGGCCATTATAAGTAATGTACAGAAATCACCTGCAACCCTACAAAACACTTTTCCCCTCTATATACAGGTCAGATATCTGTTTCTTTCCTAAAATTATTTTCATTTTTATCTCAGTCTAAAAAATCAGACAAGTTCATTACTGGTTATTTTAGTATATTCTCACTTTCCGAAAAAGCCTTTGACTTCCACCTCCAGCAGATGTTGGATAATAAATATACACATTGTGGTCCTCAGCACTGACAGGTTTTTCTACAAATGGCTTTTGGAAAACTTCTCCATTAACTTCCACATGATCTTCTCCTTCAATCAAGTTACATTCTGAAAAACATATGAAGTGCAGACCTCAGACTGGGTTCACAAGTAAAGAGGTGTAAATATTTGGCAGGGGATGTGGTAAAGAATTGCTATCTGTGCCTGTTAGGGACTCTTATACCTTCCACAGCTTCAATGCTTGGCATAGTAAGTATTTGTGAACAAAAAGGAGTTTTTATTAGTTGTTGTAGATTTTCCGGGCTGTATGGCCATGGTCTTGGCATTTCTTGGCAGCTGTGACTGGCATCCTCAGAGGTGTAACACAGAAAGGTGGAGTACTCTGTGTCAATGCCAACCATTTTTCTTCTCACATTGATACAGAGAGTACTCCATCTTTCCGTGTTATACCTCTGAGGATGCCAGTCACAGCTGCTGGCAAAATGTCAGGTACTACAATGCCACCACAGCCACACAGCCTGGAAAATCTACAACAACTAATGAACTCCAGCCGTAAAAGCCTTCGACAACAAAAATGGTTTTGTTTTGTGGCATGGTCAGCTCAGAAAAAGAATCATGGGAATGTTAGAGAAAAGGCTTGATATTTGCTTTATGGACTGCATATTGCTATGCACAATGGACTGTGCACACACACATGGGCTCAGAAAACTGAACACTTTAAATCACCTGTTGTGATGCCACACATAGAAGGTGCCTGCACATACCTTACATGTAAATAAGGTTTCAGCTACACAGTTACCCAGCCTGGTGAAGAAGCACAAACCTCCATTATTGTGAGCAATGGAACAACAATCCCAGGCGGAGACAGCCCCCATGACAGAGCTTCTTGTGGTCATGTACTACCCATCGTCGTCTGCTTTGTTCCTGCATTGGCATTTCCTGCCAAATGGACATTTGGTTATCAAAGAGACTGGCCTGCTTCATCAGCACTACAACGGAGCATCCTGATGCCTAGGTTTCACACCTGTCCAGATGCCATACTCTGAGTAAGGTTTTAGGTTACAATATTGGCCACCCCTTTAGGTAACCTCACCTTTCCACATGCAACCAATAGGATTATTTTGGGGACGGACTAACAGGTAGGTGGGTCAAGAGGTTGGCACAGTTACCACCCATCTCTTGGACCCCCTATAAAAGGAGAGAACCAGTCACCTGGCCCCTCCTACTTGATCAACTAGTATCTCCCCTGCAACAACCCTTGTCTGCTTTAACCCCTCTTAAGTCCCACTTGCTATCCCCAACCCTTGCCTCTACTTTGCTCTCTTGATCTGCAGTCAAGAGACCCCCACACAGTCCGGCTAGTTCTGGTAGTGTAGTTACTTTTGTTTTCCACTTCTTCCCATCCATTCTTCATTGGAACAACCAAGCTGCAAGACAGATAAGTATCACCCACCATCACCCCTACCTGCTAATGCAAAAGTGCTTATTTTAATACTGTAATTCTTAGGAACTTGATTGAATGTGTGAGTGCATCAGTATTGTTTCTATGAGATATATTTTTAAGTAAAAGACATCTATTTTAACCACAACAGCCTCGAATCCTTTACTGGTAACCCTTGGTGGGAACAGGACCTTCGTATAAACTGGCAAGAACCCATTTATAAATTGCCAATTGTTGTAAATAAAGCAATTCAGCTAACAGGAAACAGTATCAGCATTTTTACAATGATTTTTCTTTTCATGTAAGAGAGAGGAGCTATGATTTTATGGCTCCAACATTACATAGTTCATATATGAAGAATGCTTATATGAGCAGGGCTTTATTATTGCATGTCAGTGATCAGCATATCTTCAGAATTCTTGGAGAATGCCTTCTTTGTTAGGTGTTTTGACTTCGTGTTTCCAAGTTAAGATCATCCCATGAAGACATGAACTGTGTGCTTCCTTCAACAAGTCTATTTTATGTGCTACATAACACATTTCCATTCCATCCTAATCATTTTAAGTCACCTGACTTCAGTGAGTCTTACTATAAAGTAAGTATGCTTGGGGTAGCACCCTTAGAAAAAATAGTTTAGGTGTGATGAAATATATGAAAAACCAGCTTGAATTTTCCTCCAGACCTGTTTTATTTTGTTATCTTATTTAAGGGTTGCCCCCTCTTTATGGTTTCAAAATTCCTGGGATCTTTGGTTCCAGAGACAACAAATTGGAAATATAAAGGATAGGAGATAACAAATTTCTTGCTGAAATGTCTGAAAGATCACAGTACATGTATGACAGACCCTGTCCACCTCCCTCCCTCAGAGGCTAGATTTTCCCTCCATTTTTCTTTCCCTTCACTGACTGAGCAACCCTGGTAACTTGATTTCTTCTCCCCTGAAAAAAACTTTGGCTGTCCCACCCCGGGTCAGTAATATATATTGACTATTTGCTCAATCCAGGAACCTGAGGGAAGGGATAGAATCACTCTGTAGCTTAAACCCTTGAAAATGGCACTTGAGACCCTTTTAAAATTCAAAAATCTTATTTATAAGATTTTATTTAATACTGAGGGAAGATATCAGGTAAAATCAGGGGTTGAAAAGACTAAGGTAAAATAAGTACAACCACAGACTTTTGTTTTTATATCTCAGGCTAATGAGAGGTTCTTCAATTTTTTATTTATTATGGGTCTATATGACCGAAGTCTTGGCCAACGGAGAATGCAAAAGGGGTAAAATAGGTACATAAAATTGACATAAAATATGACAAGTACATAGTCACAATCAGTAAACATATAAAACCCAGGCATAGCCCAGAGAATTAAAAGAACCTAACTACACTTGGGGCGGAGCCAACTAACTAAAATCCTCCAAAGATTAAAATCCGTACAGGTGTTTGCAGAGTTGATAAAGCTTTCATTGTTTCTTGAGAGCAGCAACCTTAGCCAGGAACCGTGCCACGTTAGCTGTTATCAGTCCATCGGCATTTGAATCAGACAACAATACTGAAAGCACCCAAGGTTGCAAGGGAAGACTCATCTTCGTAAGAATAGGAATGATATATATCCCTCTATCTTGAGTCCAATGGGGACAGTGAAACATCAGATGGTCTAAAGTTTCAATTTCGCCAGAGTTACACAAACAAAGGCGATCTGAGTAAGGTAAGCCTCTAAATCTGCCCAGCGTTACCATTGTTGGAAATGCATTTAAGCGGGCCAGCATAAAGGTGCGACGGTGGGATGGAATTG